CTAATACTTATATCAGGAAACAAAAAAGTATGAAATAGCTAAAATTGTTGGATACGTGTTCAAGTATATTTAAACAAAGATATGAGAGAAGGAAATTGATAGCTTATCAATGTAAATAACATTTACCTAGTTTTCTATATATTTACATTCCTTCATACATAATGAATACTTCGGGACTATTTTCTTTAAATTAAATAGGCATTTATTAGGTACATTTAACAAAGACATGTAGTTTTAAGAATTAAAACTATCATTGTGATTTATGGTCGTTGATGTGAGTCAACAATGAAACGAAATGAAAAAAAAACCGCATACCAAAATAAGCAAGCGTAATAATACTGCACGAAGTCAAATTGCATAAAAGTACCTATTTACATAGAAAAGGAACTCTTATCTTTGAATAAATAATTCTCTGTATTAACTTAATACCAAGTCTTTTAATCCTAATTAAAAAACAAAAATAAAAAACCATTAACTAAATAAAAACAAAAAACATACCTTTACTTTTATGCCGACATGGCAAATTCTTTGGCAAATCAATGGACCTAATAATCCTTTTGATATCCGACACTCGTTCTTTAACCTTCTCCTGATGTGCTGTCAAATGGGCCGTTACAAATAGAAATGTGGAACCAAATAGTGCGAAGGATATAGCAACGGCTCCCTTAGTTCTAAAGGCGGTACCAGGTCTCACTGACAAACTCGCGTCTTCAGGAAGAGAACAAAACCAAATGAGATCTCTTCTTATAAATATCATTAAGTGGATTGTTCCTGTAATAAAAGGAATAAAGAATTACGATTTTTAATCAGTTTCATGTGTATGCTCTTTGAAGATCATCTCATTTGAATGCTTCTATGTTTGTGCGTAAATGTTTTTTTATGGCATAAGGCAGCTATATATGATAGGATGATTACCTATAATGATAAGCAATCAGCGCCACCCAGACACTCGACTTACTAGAGTAGTAAAAGTGTCTACTTTTAGGGATTTGATTTAGCACTAGGTCAATGAGGCAGTCAGCCAGTCAGTTTAGGCAAAATAAAGAGCAATATTAGATTTTAAATTTTAAACATTTTAATTTAAAATCCCTGGGATAAAGAATGATGATTTATAGTGTGTGCATATTGATAGGTATATAGATAACAATAAAACCAAGGCTGAGAGCGAGTTACGTCACACAAGAGCCATTCAAGAGTGAATTTGATTTTTATCACACTCCTTTAGAAGTTCTTAATGTCTGGTTTTAAACACCAGAATAAATGTAATACTGTAATACTCTAAGATCGCGAATTCGGAACTTACTAGAACCAGCTGATTATATAAATATAAGACAGTAAATATTTGTTATTAAAATAACAATATTTCCACTGATTACAGCAAAAACTTTCCTGCCTCATTATATCAATAAAATAACATCGCTATGGTTACTTTATCATTACTATACATAATGTTTACAATGTCGAGTGTATTTACTCACAAACCTCTACTTCTAGTTATAATAAACAATAAAATAAGTAAAATGACGAACTCATTTGCATTGTTTAGAAGCCATACCTAATTGAGTGTACACGGAAAAGATGCCCATTACCATATGCTAATGAGTTCACATATTGTTACTAACCTAAATAATAAGAATGCAGTAACAGATGAGATGGTCCCAATACTTCCTGAATTGTTATCTCCCATTCGGTGCGCTCAGAAAAAGATTCCTGCGTTCCAATTGCAAATATATCTGGCACATGCGTCACTTGATTTGGGAAGATAAAATCTGCTAATTCCCTAAATCAAAAAATAAACAAGAGATTAATAAAAATAACATACACATTATGGGGTCAATTTCAAATGGAAAAAAGTTAGTTACTTGGGTGGCGGCTGTCCATTCATATTCCATGTTCCTACAAATATTTTGACTTCTCTGTCTGGGAAGACATGTTCTAGTTCAGCAGCTCCAAGAAGAGAATGGGATGCAAGACGCCCATATAGGTAGTTTCTGAAATGAGAGATATTACTGTAGATTGTGATATTTACAAGGAAGAGGACATTACAAGAAGCCAGACTAATTCAAGCATGTACCATTTAAATAGTTTTACGCAACATTATACTGTATGCACTCTTGTACAAAATACAACATAATCAACATTTAACCTTTCTCGTGCCTCCTGCGTGGGTATGAGACGCAGCACCTGTGCAGCAAGCAGCGAGTTTCGTGCTAAACTGTCAGTGCTCCCAGCACGCGAGGACGACCGTGCTATAGTCGACTTGGTCCTAATGCAGACAATTACAACAATACAATAGAAAACATCCAACACCAGTACCAAAATACTATAAACAAAGATTACAATACCTTCTTTTTCGATCTAAAGAGCTACTTCGGTCACTCTCTGGCGACGAGGCGCGGTACAGCGGCTTCGACTCATTAGATATCAAATGATCAGCTGATAATCTCTTAACAAATAATTTACTCTTTGGTTTGATTCCTTCAAATGATCCTGAATGTTCAAAGCATTTCTTAGCATCATCACTTTTAGGGAACTTCACTGTAGCTTTGGGTATTTCTTCCGATTTTGTCTGCGAGCAGATAGTTTGATCACTTATGCTGTTAGAATTATTCTCTGGACTACCTGTTATTGATCGAGCCTCGTCTTTAGTAAGCTGATTATCGACGAGGCTTTTAGGACGCGATCGTCTGAAGAATGTTCGACAGCACTTTGGATTAGTGTCGTCTTCGTGATGGTAGTTAGGTGCAGAATGACTTACATTGTTATATAGTGGTTCTGCAGAAGAGTTTGGATGGTTTGACGCTTCTATGCTGTGGTCGGCACTGTGAGCACTTTGAGCTAAGAAGGGATCCGCAGGAGAGATAGGTCGAGACGAAGTCTGCGCGAATTCATCATTGGAATCTGTATCGACGAAGCAGCCAACTTTCGGCGATTTTTTTACAAATAGACGTTTTCGCAGTGACAATTTTTGTTTCGTTTTAGTAGGTGAAGTTGTCATGTTTGGTTTTCAACCAACAGAACTACTAATTTATGTTACTAATTACATTTTTACTAAATATAGACAACATAACCTATTACTTTTCTAGACTGACATTTTGCGTTGAGGAAACTGTCAAAATTTTATTGATACGTTCAAAACACCTTGAATAATGTAACCAGAACAAAACATTTTAATAAAAACCTACAACATTTTCAGTAATCTACCACACATAACAGCAATGATAACAACAACTAGAAAATAATAGTAATATTATATTTACATTCTTGTTGCCATAGCAACAAGAATTTTACCGTTTACTACTTTACTACAGTGTATAAAGTTCGTTTTGTGAATAAATTAACATTTTATTAATATTCACATGAATGAATGAATTACATACGTAATATCGACATAATAGGAATGCACTTCTGGTATTTTACAGTGGCTGCCTGGCTGCTGATCGGCTGACGAGTTATGCTATAAATGAAGAAGTTTACAAGTAGAATAGGGAAGCAAGTAGGTAAATTAGATAATTGTAGGCAACGTAATAAAAGACAAATAAGTGTAAAAAGAATATAAATTATATTATTGTTCCAATAAAAATGCTTACGAGTAATAACAGAATACTCATTTTTATAACTGTACCGCTCCCTGTACCGGGTACAAGCAGATTCTTTCCGTTATATTCTGGTGTTGGAGATAAATTGCCACCGACTACCGACTGTATACCGTCACCTGTAAAACAAACGGTTCAGTTCAATATTCTTGAATAAACATCTTGCACAGATGATACAAAATAAAAATATAATATCTTAATGACAGCAGGAAGAACTAAATAGAAAAAGTTACCTCAGGGTATTTTCATATAGTCTAGTTAAATTCCAGTTAATAAGTAGTCGACGGATACATTAAATATTATCCGTCAGTCAGTCAAGTGCACAATAGGGTAGCTTACCTTTAGGACTAGTACCTAGGTACCTACTAGACGAAAAAATAAAGTCTCTACTGTAGGATACCTAACTTACAAATTCTTTCAAATTGACTACCATGGGATATAAATCTACATGATGATTATAACGAGGTAGGTAGGTACATACCTACATAAGTCTTCTGAAGAAAAATAGGTTGTATTGGCTCTACTTTACTTACTCTTCTAAATTAAGGATATATGTAGGTAGGTTAGTAAGGAAGTCACTTGGTACATACCTATATTACAATGGTCAGTGGTACAAGCTCTGTAAAAGGTCCTGAAAGTATTATCAGATATATCATGGTTCAAGAAATCTGGCTGCGATTCACAACTTCGCGAAAAACTGGCAACTTGACCGACAGGATCCTGAAAAAAGAAATAAGTAGGTACCGTTTTTTTAAATAATTTTGGTATGACAGCCATTTTGAACAACATCTTTCTGATAAATTTGTCATTCATGGTACATCGTACCTACGCAATCCTTCTTTTAAAATGTGATATGAAAGACTTGGTGAATTTTTATGGATCATTATCATATCATACCTTATTTTTGTTGTTTTTGGTAACCTCCTGTTTTCCCAGGGAAGGGTTTTTTTTTTCAACTACCTGTGTAATATGATTGCGTCGTTTTCGCTACGACTAAGACTAAATATAGGTAGTGAAACTTACCACAAACTCTTGTCTCAGAATGGTACAATATGTGTGTGGACAATCAATAGTAGGAGTGTCATCGGTTATCGTAAGGCAATCCTGGTTTGAGTCTACCGACGAAAAACTGCAGGCATAGCATCGTAGTTGTCCTGGAAAACATTGGTTAATTTATTATTTACGGTTTAGTCCACAGCCTGCCTCGTTGGTCGAGTGGTCGCAAGAGCGACTGCCGGGCAAAGGGTATCTATATCGTATATGAGATGAGGAGGTGAGAGTATATTCAGAAGACGTCATCATTACTTACTTACTTAGGTACTTATTCAGATTTTAAATTGTAAGTTACAACTCTAAGAAATATCACATCCTACTACAATTTGAATCAGGATGTCGGGATGTTATGCAAGCCCTTGACATACTGACCCAGTAACTTATTATTCACATACTTTACTTTCTGAAACCTACCTAAATTTCTATCTAAAATGCTTTCCTGAAAATATGAACCATACGTTGCATCAACACATCAACATCAAAAGCTTGCAGACGATTTGGTTAACGAAATTCAGGATTAGATAAATTCGTTGTCAAAGCATGCAGTTTGTCCTGGCTGTGACGTCAAAACTTACATTGTTTACACATACACATACTTGTATACTAAAGATCTACTCATCTACTCATACCATAGGTTATTTTCAACTAGGTACTTACTTATATCTCAAAGGATACTCACCAACAGTTTTTCCAATAACACAAGCGAACACAAACAAAACTATTTTTAAATCCATTTTGAGCAAATAAACATTCCTTTGTGACTAAAACGGTCGCACTTCAGCACTTCAGGTAATTTTTTGATATCACTCATTATCGATATCGAATAACAATGTGGCTCCTTCAAACGTTATCTAATCAAATTCAATTTATCTTTAATTGTAATGAAATCACAGATCTAGGATATTTTTTGTTTGATGTACCTGAATTGATAGCTAATCGATGGTTCTGCAGAAAATCGATTAACATAAAACTTCACAAAGGTACTTAAAGTAATGAATCAATTTGTGACGTCAGTGTATAAGAAATACGTATTTCACAGATTAGGTAAAAAACGCTGCCCCATGAGTTATCCTGTATATCGGGGTCTTTCCCATTCGAGTATTTTAAAAGTTATTCAGGGAAAGGCCTACCACAAATAAATGTATCTTAGGTAGGTATCTTTTTTTTCTCATTGCATGGCAATCGAGTCTCCAATTCAACTTAGGTACTTATTCTTATTAAAAGGCGTAAATGATGCTTAATACTTGCAATATTTAAACACTCTAACACTCCTTTTGATTTCAAATACTACCTATTTTAAATTTTCGACTAGGATTTTGTAAATTACACAATAGGGTAATTTCCGGGGTAAGAAAATTAAAAGTCTAATTAGTCCGTCAGTTAGATAATGGAAGCGTTTTACCTACCAATAAAACGCATATTAATTTACTTACCTTATTCGAAGCTTATTTAATTGAGATAGGCCTTCCGCTTCCCTCCTTCCGCTTTTCCTATATGTCTATCTCTTTCTACTACGTCACTTCCATTTGGCAGTGGTGGGGAGGCTTGCTAAGAGAGACTCACCATTTTTATTTCATTGAGTCTCATTACCAGGCAGAGCTTGACTATAAGCTTCGAATAAGGTAAGTAAATTAATATGCGTTTTATTGGTAGGTAAAACGCTTCCATTAATTTGACTTGACCGTTATTCGAAGCTTATTTAATTGAGACGTGTTTGTTATCGCCTGGTGGAAGTGACAGACGCCAATGTGAGGTAGTATGACTGCGTTGACCGCAGTCGTACTACCTGGTATGATGTGGTAAAATCACAGAATAGAAAAACTAAGAAAAATAGCAAATATCTAAAAACATATACATGTTTTGATGAAAGGTATTGAATAGAAAACCTGTTATTTTTAATTTTTTCAATAATAATTGTATTTGATCTGAACAAAAACAGATGTTATATATTTCTGAGGTATTTTATTGCCTCGTTTCTAATTTTCTAATCGTCTGTATTGAATAAAAAGGTGACATACAAAGGCACACACATCTTAGAAAGGATCGCCTCAAAAGGATAACTATCCACTAAATTTTTTCAGATCACAGCTGATCTGAAACCCTCAGGATATCTTGGGGGATTACTGATATCTTAATATCGGTTACCACCAAGAAGGAACTTTATCCTGACCGCAATTAAATTTTTCTATGTCGGTTTAAGAAATTTGCATTATTTTCAAAATTGACACATAACATCACAGCTTACGCCATTAAGTTATGCCTCTTATGGTATGCTTAGTCCATTGGACTGGATCTGAGCTTTAGAAATTTGGTATACAGGCTGGGTATGGGCCGACTTCGGTGATATATCCCGATTAAATGCTCCCATGGTAGAAATACACGGGCAAAGTCGTGCGTGAAAGCTAATTTATTATTATCCATTTAATCAACAGAATCAGTTTTTGATCTAAAAGCCGACCGAAAAACTAGTACGTCTACGTCATTATGATTATGGTAATTATTAGTATCAATATCGAGGAAAGTTAGGTCATGGAATCTTTTCCTGGAGTATAGGAGAAATGGAACAGCTGTTTGTCTCTGCACTTGAAAGACTATTAATAAGTTTACTGTCTAAGAATCTAGCTAGATCGTTTATGACCCAAACAGGGGGATTGACATGATCAATCACCATTTACAACATGTTTTACACAGTCAGTTAATCTCAAATATAAGTACCTAACTGATGTGTTAGTTCATAAGTTAAATTAATGTTACTGATTGTATAGTTTTTAACAATACATGCTAAACGACATATGGTTCTGGTTAACAAAGGACAGCAACCACAGATTTTTGTGACAAATTTTAATTGTACGACAAATTATTGATTCAATAGAGATCCGATATAGATAAAAATGTAGTCAAAAGTCTTGCTATAGGAGCTGAGGGTCCCCCCCCCCTCCGGTGCGGTGCAACCTTTTGAGGACTGCACTATAGATTTAACGTATTGACGGACGCCATGATTTCTTAAGAGATTTCAATTGTATAGAATATCATTTTAATAGTATTCCAGACATCTCACGTTTCCACACTTCCAAGGTCATGTCGTAGACGCTCGGTGGTGGCCGCCTTGTTCTTAATTAGGACTTTGTCTAGGTGATAAAGCGTAAAGAAGCGGGGTACTATGGCAAGCGAGACACGCCAAAAAACTCGCCCTCATTAAGGAACTACTAGTAGGCACGTTCTGTGTGCTTGATTGAAATAATCCAGGACCTAAGAAATCAAAAAGCTTGGAGAGAACTCCCCCGCTGGGTTTAAAACATTTCCATATGTGGAAAAAACGCGTCGCCAAACAGGGCTTGTCCGTAGTTTTGATATAAAGGCACGTAAATGTCACTACATGTACTCGGTATGACGCAAATAAGTTGATCAGTGGAACTTCGCATATGGAGACCATTTGGTTTGTGCATTCTGCTGACAGCTGGTGCTCTCTAAAGTTTCACAAACCTCAACAGATGATCTGCCTTGACATTGTACATTATATATCTGGTACATGAAATACGTGTATGTTAACGCATATGAACGTATAATGGGAAACGGAGGTTTAAATCCAGAAGTGGAGCCACTTGGGGCCCCCCCCCCTTTCGTAACGGATATATGCGATAGACTTGATGTCGTCCTATATCAAACCAGTCTATTTCAGGATTGGCTACTATGACGATCTTTCTCGTGCTCTGACCAGAGACCCAGGAGAAAGAGATTGCCCAGGTAAGCTCCCTTAGCAATATCTGACACATTGTGCAAGCTGCTGGGAATGAGAAGGTAGAAGTAGCATGTGTAGGACCGACAGAAGATGATAATTCTGGCTCCTCCCACACAAGATTGTTCACATGAGGTAAAATGAAGACCCATCTGCGATCGCCCTTTAAGATTTTATTCTTGTAGGTTCAGAAACGCTTGAAAGTAGAGTCTTTTTCTTGACTAGAGTCTTGAAACTGCAGAAGCAGCAAATATAACTAGGCTCTGGAGTTCTGTGCGTGACTTGCATTTCTTCCGCATTAAATGGCAAAATGACCCCAGAAATTTTACTACCGGGTAAATGTTTGTGATTTGACCATGGATCCCTGGCTTAATGACTTTTGTGTAAATAGCCAAACCAACTTTTCTAGAACATGGAGCCCAATTTTCATACGAAGTCCGAAGTTGGCCTTCGTCCTGATGGCAATAAAAAATCCCGACACCTCATTGTCCCAGTGTCTGGGAAAATCGTAGCAAAAGTATTGGGCGCTGCGCTCATGCCTAATGATAAGCAAGTCATTCGTAGCAATTCGTTGCGATAATTTAGGCACATAAACCTTCCGTGGCTACGGGCCACAGAAAAATAACTCTACGCCTGAGAAATGTCGATTTTGCATAGACAATCAGGTTGTAGAAAATGTGAAATACTATGTGTTTTAACACGTATGTGCATTAACGAATCGGTCAGATGATACATAAATTCTGAATTTCCAAATGGACGATGCGGTCGCCCTTGGACCAGAAATATCAATGGTAGGAAGCTTGGCTGCTCAGTAGCTCGGTCCGTAACTACCTGTTCTGTTATTTTGTTCATGACTGATGTCATTTCTGAACAGAGTGTCAGAGATTCTAGAACAGATGTTTGATGAACAGATGTTCCAGTTCAACAAGTTCGTTCCGACAACATTGGGGTGAACCAGGGTCAGTTTTTGTAAAAAGGGTATGCGATACCTTTTTATTATCATAATCTGACGTTCACAAGTTCCCATCGGTCTACCAATTGCAGGAGACTGTCCGCTCTGTTGTTAATACTTACGTCGTTTGTTGTCAATGCTGCAGCATCAATGACGGGGCGATGATACACGTCTTCGCTCCTGACTTGGCTAATTTTATTCTGCCGAGGATTTGACCAACTCCGACAGATATTCCAATTTTTCGGTGCGACCGAAATATATAAAAACAGCATGAATATGATATAACCACCTTGCGGAGGCGGGTTTATTGCTGTTGTCACCACCTTGCGGAGGCGGGTTTATTGCCGTTGTCACCACCTTGCGGAGGCGGGTTTATTGCCGTTGTCACCACCTTGCGGAGGCGGGTTTATTGCTGTTGTCACCACCTTGCGGCGACGGGTTTATTGCTGTTGTCACCACCTTGCGGCGACGGGTTTATTGCTGTTGTCACCACCTTGCAGAGGCGGGTTTATTGCTGTTGTCACCACCTTGCGAAGGTGAGATACTGCTAGCACATTGCGAATGTGTATTAATGTGTTGGAAACCTTGAGCAAAAATCCTGCGAGGACTTTGTAAGGCTGTGGCCCCTGCGACGGGCCTCGAAACTTTTGGATCTACCTGCGAGGTAGATGTAATATTTACCTTTTGCAATGGCCAAAAACATTTTCTCACGCCACCAGCTTATTCTACAGCGGCAGTAAACCTCTATGCGCTCTTAGTATTAGGAGAATCTCAGAACGATGTCCGCAAACAATCTGTAATAAAGCTTAAGACTAGGTACTTACTAAAATCCCCTGTGGAAAAAGGGTACTTTTGAAGTAGCATATCACATGTAGCAGTTAGCAGTTTGAAGGGTTCCGAAAATCCCGTGTTAAAGTGCACACAATATTCAATCAAGTATACCATTAACTTTAAACTCAAACTTAATATCAAAGCAACAAAATATATAATAGGAACGCACTTCGGTTCTATATTTGCATAGTCATCTCACTTTTGCAAGATAATTAGGTACAACAGACAAATAACTGTGCAATATTATTAACAGTCGAACAGAACCTTCGTTCTTTGTTCGTATAGTGGTACAAATCCACCCGATTTTCTGAGCAATAGCTATAGCATAGGGTATCGCGTCAGCAATTCCACGTATGCAATATACAGTCCAAGACTGTACCGAATTAACCAACAGTTCTGTTGGGAGCACAGCTCTTGAGTTTTATCCGAAGACACACTTTGATAGACATACAATTTCAAAACAATTTATCAGGTCATCAACATCAAAATAATATTCTTATAAATTTTCAATAACATTAGACAGAAATGCATGGTCCAAAATGGTACTCACGTACAAACAATCTATTGCTAAAGGTTACGTACCTGTTTAGATAGTTTTCGAAACTTACGTTTAGATCGACACTTCCATACGAAGAAGTGTTCAGGAACAACATGAATAATCGCAATTATTACCTGAATTTTCCATAATAGATAACGAAAGAATAATCTTTATTTAATTTAAAATTTTTACAATTGTAATAAAAGCCGTTAGGACATTTATCACTTTTATAAAAAAGAAATAATAATAAAATCGGAAGGTAGTTTCACAACTTGTGAATGGTTGTCTTGTGACTCACAAGGCACAACCGTTTACGGCGGGAAACAAGACGCCAATGAAATAAAAATGGCGAGTCTCTCTTAGCAAGCCTCCCCACCACTGCCAAATGGAAGTGACGTAGTAGAAAGAGATAGACATATAGGAAAAGCGGAAGGAGGGAAGCGGAAGGCCTATCTCAATTAAATAAGCTTCGAATAACGGTCAAGTCAAATTAATGAAAAAATATTGGACACGTATTTTTTTAATTTTCTCGTATAAAGTTACAATACTTAAATAAAATGGCGTTAAGCTTAGGAGTGGGTGGGAGGTAATTACGTCAGAACGTGGTACATTTTGTAGCACGGCGATATTTCAAATCAATATATCGACGTCACGCGACATTTCAAATGGAATATCGACAAAAGAAATATCGAAAAAGAAATCTACCAGAGGGACATTAAAATAAAATTTAGGAAACTACCCTATTAGTGTTTTTTGCGGGAATGAGAAAACAGTGACAAGTTGCCTAATGCCAGGCCACCGCAGCAAGCGTGCAGTCCGTACATACTATTCTGTACAATGTAATAAAGGTAAAACAGAAACAAATAAAAAAAACATTTCATTATTTAAATTACTGTCCCTATCTATAATGTACTATGTAAATAATTCATATTACTTGAACCAGGAACCCAGTTAGCGACGCAGATAGCGAGCCAGTGGCCGGCCGGTGTTTATCTTAATTGCTATTTCACTGGTCGTGCATCAATCCAGCTGGCGAGATCCAGTCGCGTTGCAGACTCGCAATAATCGATTCCCATGTAATTACCGGTTTTAAAGCCGATAACGGCGCAGTAATGTAGGTGCGACAGACTGCCTGGCTGCCTTTGGACATGTTTCATTCCATAGATATCTATGTGTATAAGTAGGTTGGTTGGAAGTATAGGTACTTTGATTATGTTTGAAGAAATAAACTTCATTTTAAGTTTAATGATCGTTTATTCACTCATAAAGAACATGGTTCATTTACAATAAGCTTAAATGACTAATTATAACTAGGTACACAGAGTTATGACCTAACGGTATTAATACTTTTTTGGTTTAAACTTTATTATGCTGGTAAAATAGGCTGAAAAGTTTTACAGGTTAAATATAGTAAGTAGGTGCCTACGGAAAAGCTGTAAACCAATACTAAGTTTTTGTGAAAATCATCTATTAACACGTTAATCGCCATGGGGGTCGCCGGTGGCTGACGTTAGAAGAGGATTTGCTTTTAACAGCTTTCTATTGGCCGTCTAAGCTTTAACAAGGAGCATCTTGGCGATATAAGCATGTTTGCTGCACATTTTATAAGCAATACAAAACCTTAATCTCACAAGACGCTACTTTTCTATTAAATATTTCATTCGACCCTAGCTTGATTGCGCATTTTCATTTGTTTTCGGTGAACTAAAATTTCAACGCCAAGGAGGAGGAACGCTAAAATCATTCCGTAGAGCAACACCAAGCAGACAGGATGAAAATCAACCATATTGACGGAACCGAAACTGCCACCCATGACGGTGCAAGCTGGTTTCTTGGCGTAAATTAATCGGTTTTCCCTGTCACTCAAACCGTGTTCTTGGATCCTGATATACCTGTAATAAAAGGGTTGACATGTTAAGTATGTATATAGGTAGGTAAGTCAGTGGCATGACCACCCCGGTTGCATGTCTGTTTCATGTTTATTATAAGTATTGCTATTTTATGATGAGTAGGGACTTATTCAATCAATAAGATGGCTAATGTAGGTATTTATTTATGCACAACACACAGACAGAACACAGGAGAATACATATATAAATAAATTGGAGATACATAGGTACTACATATTCCCCTAGGAATCTCTTCCTGCAGTCCTTCGACAGAAATAACAGTAAAAACTAAGACACTGTGTATAACATGTCATGAACAAAAAAAAACAAAGATATGTAAAGATATTTTGAAAGCAAATGAACCTACATTACCTAGTAGTTTTTGTTATTTATTATTCGTTCGTTTTGTTAATTAGGCAAGTAGTTGCAAGTAGAAGCTTACTACATGATATTTGATTAACTATCTTATATTGTGTGTTAATAATTCCTTACCCAACTTTAAACAATTCCCCATAAGGAGATAATCTTCGACTACATAACCAAGGGTTGCTATTTGGAATGTATTCAATTTCTTGAAGCCCACACTTTTCATGTTCTTGGAAAATTGCTGAAACAATTCTGTATCCAGTGCCTGTGTTCATATTAAAGGCAAATGGTTTCTGTGAAAATATATTGCTGACGTTAGACGAATATTTATAGTACATACTAGCGACCCGCCCCGGCTTCGCACGGGTGCAATATGCATGTATTATACATACAAACCTTCCCTAAGAATCACTCTATCTATTAAAAAAAACCGCATCAAAATCCGTTGCATAGTTTTAAAGATCTAAGCATATATACGGACATACAGCGAAAGCGACTTTGTTTTATACTATGTATTGATTGATAAAGAAAATATGATTTCTAATAACTTTACCTTTTGCATAATCCTGACTCCCTGTTCAATATTCATAACATTTGTCAGTACACCCTTTGGTGCAATCTTAGTGTCAACTAGCGCTTTCTTTATTGGATCATCAGCTGTGTATGCACTCTGAGAACCATTAGAAACACATTAACGATATAGGAAAAGTCAAGGGTCATGGTAATCGTGGAATTCTTTGCCAGAGTCTGTGTTTCCTGAAGGGTACCATAACCTGGGCTGCATAGCCTGGATTTATTAAAGGCCTGAGTAAATAGGTTGCTTATGGGCACACGTGCTCCATCGTAGGCCGCATCATTGCTTACTACTTGCCGAAATAATGGCCAAACTTCGGCTGATCAAATATTTAAAAAACATGTATCGTGTAGAGGAAGCCTGTAATCTAACTGTAAACTAATATCACGGGCTGGTAATGTGTGTAATACCTATGATTAAAAAAAATTAAGATGAAAAACATAAAATTGTTACCGAAAAATAGAATTTGTTGAACGGAGCATGTTCCAGACCAAGTTCCAGTCTAGAATGAAGAAGATCAGAGAGAGTTCGAATTTGATTAGACGTCGATTGAAGTAACACAACAATGTTAGCAGAGTAAGATGTGTATAAGAAAACAAATGCTAAGAAAACCAGAAACATTACAAGACGTCCTAATGTCCCTGAAAGTAAAGAAGAAAAATCAATGAAATGTCTGTAAATCTGCTGAATAATATTACAGTATGGTATGTACCTTTTAACTCATTAGAGCTTCCTTGTTGAGAAATAGCACTCAAGACAAAAATTGTTATGTCACTCCAAGTTGGTGGTAAGCATGTTTGGTCAATTTTTTGCTAAAACAGTAACAATTAAAAGGCATGAAACAAACGCAAATCAAAGAAACCTTTAAATTCCCATTGATTTTATTATCTTACCTTATTATAATCTTTGTATTTCTTTGCATCCCATATCGTGTTGACGTACAATATGACAATTAATATAACAATGAATGCACCAGTGCACAACCAGACTCCATTGGAAAATGGCAGAAGGAACAAATTGTTCTGGTACGACAAGGGCGGTTGTCTGAAGACAAACTTCAGTGTGATGGGTGTAGGATGGGTCAAATATTCCAAAATTGTCATACGCTCTTTCGTTATGAACGTTACAATTCCTAAAATAACGAAAATCATGATAAGTGCGGATTTGAACACTTACCAAGTAATTGGCTAGTTTTCTAGGTTTAAAATAAATTGTTTTTATCAATTTTTAAATGCAATAAATAATTAAAAAATAATCATACTCTCATCCACTGATTTGACAATTTACCTACTTTTGGTTTTTTTTTGGCTAATTTTAAGGAAATAAGTATAATACTGTTTGACGCAGAAATATGATGACTTCATAAGTAGCGATCCAGTGCAAAATTCATAGAAAAATATCGTTTTTGACATTTCAATAAAAGTATTGAATTTGACTACCTGTCAATTACCGTATTACTTTTGTCTTGGAGGAATAATTATGATTTCGGTACCTATCTTTCCATATTAAACTAAAAATAATGTCCCGCGTATAAATCCTTTCAATAAAAACAAATAAAAATCAGCTTGGTTCAACTGAAAAATATAATATACCACACAAGTCAGCTTCTTCCCGATAAATGTCACCAATCATTCCATTCCAAGATCCATTTATGAAGTAACCCCAAGTATCAGAGAACTTTACAACTTTAGTAGCATTGAGAAAGTCAAATAAGGGAACAATCGTACGAAAGCTGCTTTTGGCAGGGGTGTCAATAAAGATGTTCCTGTAAATAAAAAAGAAGACATAATTAAAAAAACAAAGAATGACACTGCAGGAGAATTTAATGCAACAAAAAATGCTGATGAATGCCTACCCAAGTCCAAGTAGATCAGTTTTAGTTCGATTGTCAGAAATAGCAACGGAGGTAGTCAAAGTTTCTCCCATAAAGTCCTTTCGTCTCATCACGTTTGACTCAATTGTAGTCGTAGATTTCGTAAATCCAGTATCGAGTGACCAAGTCCCGTAGTCTTCTATAATCCATTTTGTATGTGGTTTTAGCTTGTAAACTGCAAGAAAATATTCTCAATTTTATAACTAAGTAAACCAAAACAAGCAACCAGCAATATTAAAAACAATGTTACGTTATTGATAAAAGGAACCTTACACGTGTGTAATGATACTTCTTCAGAATTATTCCATTTTCCAATACTTATGACTTCTGAATCTACTGAAATCCTAATATCGTCAAATTCTGGAGAAACATTAAAGGTTTCATCTTTTATTATTAATGATTTTCCAAGAATCAGCCATCTGTAGGACTTTCTAAACTTGAGGTTTGCGCTTGCCTTGAAAAAATAAGCTTCATAAGTTTGGAACTGTTGGAACACAATCAAATTCTATATAGATACTAACATATTTAACATATTACATTAGTATTAGATTGTATTAGTACAAAACACATGTTTGGAATATAAAATAAACATACCCATCTGAGAAAAGCATTCGCATCATCACAAGTTCTGTTCAATATGAATAATAGATCATTATTTGGATAATTATCATTATCAATGGTTTCATTCTGCCGTAAATATCGAATGTTCATTGGTCTGTCTAGTTTTGCGAGCATTTTTGCCAATTTCGCTTCTACAGGCGCTGTAAGAAATAGTTATGTATTTACAAGGTTCATTAATAATTTTCTTGTCATTTTTCATTACCTACCGTATTTGCTACGTTTGCTTGTCTCCCAGCACATTTTAGCAATAACTGAAGTAGGTTTATCGTATGACTTAGCGACATCTACAATGATTTGCAGTTCAGTATTTGTATTAAATGAAACGCAAAAGTCCAAACAAATTATATTTAAGACAAACGTAAGATACTTCATGGTGAAGACAACAATGGTTTGTGATGTCACAATGAAAATGACGTAAGAAATGTGTGCTGCTATCATTTATCCTGCTATTAAATCCAAGCTAATTGATGATGTTTCTTGTTAATTGGCTATAATGCACCGTTTGATTGCTAATCACAAGGGTTGTACTACCATTTAAGTGTTTACAGAACTTATTATTCATGATTCAGTGTTAACTGTAGCTTTAGCTATAATTCAAACTACTAATGGTTCTACATCAAGTGCATTTACGTCTTAAGAATTAACTTCTGCCATTAATCGTAATTTTCCTCTTTCATACATTTCAATTTTAGTAATACTTTTTCTCTTTTATGGACTAATATTTCTAGACCAAGGAAGAATAGTGCGACAATAGTTCCGTATGATAATATTAGTATTGCAGGATAACAGTCGACCATGCTGACGGATACGAAGTTTGATCCTCCGCCTGAACATTTTGGACGTTTCTCGTACATTAGACGGTTTTCTCTGTACTGTAACCCATGTTCTTGAATTCTTTTCGTTCTGTAAATAAATATATCAGAATACATGCTTAATACTTAATATGGTGAATATTAAAATAACGTTTAATGTATTATTTGTTTAAAATTTTTAATCATTATTGTTAATTTATATTTAATCTGATTCTAATCATTCTTTGGTTTTCTTCTTCTAATCTATATCATATTTTTGTCTTATCTTACCCAATTTTAAACATCTCTCTGAATGGAGTATCTTTTCGAACAGCTAGCCAGGGATCTATAACTTGCAAATACTGAATCTCACGAAGACCACACTTTTCTCCTTCATTGAAATATTTTCCTACAAACTTGTAACCAACGCCTGTTTCCATGTGGAATGCGAATAGCCCCTGAAATAACCTTTTATTATTAGTTTTTGCATCTCTTATAATTGCATTAGTGGGTTTAAATTAAGGACCTTGCGCATTTGTAAGACTCCTTCATCCATAGTCATGAACCGAGGAGTGGTGCCTGGTGGAGCCACTTTCTTCTCATAAATTGCCTTTCTTACTGGTTCTGTTGCAGTCTGTAACATTAATACTTTGTTAGCTTTACATGTATAGACTTTACCTATATCTATTAAGACAGAACATTCTTACCGAGAAATAGTATCTATTGAAGACAGTATCATGGACGCCAAATTTGATTCTGGAGTGGAGTAAATCGTCCAGAGTTTTGATGTGAGAAGAACTAGATTGAAGAAGAGCAACGATGTTGGCTGAGTAGGAGGTGTAGAGGAACATCAGAGCAAGGAACAGTACCAGCATTACAATACGACCTAGTGATCCTGGAAAGATGAGACGAGACCTATGATACAGCTGTTGTTGTAACAGATGATCTTTTATATAAACCTTTGTGGATATTTGTTTTACAACTAATTAACTACATTGTAGTATACTTTTTAAGTGGTTAAAGCACTTTAAAATCACAATTACCCTTCAGTTCTGAAGGACTTCCTTGTTGACAAGCAGCTCCGAATATCAAAATGATAACATCAACAACGTTAGCTCTTAGGACACCAGCGTCTTTTTCCCTCTAAAAATATGAAACAATACATTTAAACTGTCAAACACCAAGCGGTCACCGGTGACCGCAACCTATTGTTCTATAATTGTGTCTACAAAACCGGTACTCGACGAGTTAATTGAATGTTTTTTAATTTTCTTAAGCATAAAATTACTTTGCTATTGTAGCCAATCGTCTGGAAAGTGGGGACACCACATTAAACAAGCAGCATTACAAAACGTTGTTCATTCATTTCTCTAGGATCCAATTACCATTATAAAGAATTAAATCCAATCCACTAACCGTTTCAATAGTATGTTTTGTCTTCTTCCATTCCCACTTCGCCACCAGAAGCAGTACAAGGTATATTACGAAGACCAAACCTACAGTACAATACCATACAGTTGTATTAAACGGTAATAGGAACAAATTGTTCTCATATGATAGTTTAGGTTGTTGAAACACGAATTTGGATCGAGTTGGTGTTGGACTCGAAATGTAGTCGACTATCGATACTCTTTCAAACGTGAAGAACATTGGAGACCCTGTGGATAAAAAAGAGGATAGTTATAATATATAGTCAGAGCTAGTATTTTTGTTATTCTTTTATGCTTAGATAGTTGAAGAAATTTTCAAGAAGGTTAATACACAGGTAAATGAAGTCATAAAGACAATAATTCAATTTATTGATTTAAAAAATATTTGAGTACACGAACTTTAAACAAGACAGAACTAAATTCCGCGAATACAATTCGCCATTGTAATTGAAACTTAAAGCGAACAAGTTTCTTGCACTGAATCGAATTCTAACTGCTCTAAATCTGAATAGAAGGTCATTCTTTTGTACGGTTCAAAAATACCCAGAGATAAAAAAAACTCAGGTATCGTTCGGCGACCGTTACATACAATGATTAGCTCATCATCAATCAATTGCTTTGCAACCTAATTGGTGAATGGCAAAATGTTATTAGTGGCTACTCTTGCAGTGTTGTTCATCTTCTATAAGTAATTGCTTATTATGTCACCAGTGCTAAGTGTTTTGGTTGCCATTTTGTGTTACTAATATGGTGTAGTTTTTGTCATTACTTGTTGAACCGTTTTTGGATTGTATGCATGTTGTCCAGATTTAGTTTGAAGGTATTATCTTCATGATTAATTGCTGATGACTCTTAGGTTTTTGTAAGTGCAAAGGAATTAACGACGGTGCCGGACATTTGTCTTAAAATATTAAAACATTCATTATCACATATAGTCCTTTGTTTATTAATTTCTATAGAGATAACCAATACTGATATTTTATTAGTAGGTATTTTGTTAGTTTGTAAGAAAGCTAATAAAGTAAAGTAAACTATTAAAGCACACTTACCCCCAATTTCAACTTCGCCCCTTACCAAGTAACCAGTCATACCGTTCCAGGTGCCATTGACCTTATAGCCCCATGTTTCAGCAAAGATATATTTCCTTCCAGCATTAAGGAAGTCCAACAAATGGTTGGTCGTGGGGAAATTCACCTTTGTAATCGTATCAATGTGATCGTCTCTGCAATAATTTTGCAATACCTACGTCTTAAAGAACATAAGATCATAGAGAACGTAAAAGTCTCCCAACTGGTTGCTTGACCTCAGTCTGTCTGAATGATGTATTCTATGCACTATCTGAATATATCTGTTTAATACGACCTACATAGATCATTATTTTAACTAGCAGGTTAAGAAACGATGATTTAGATAGGTGATATTTTTTTGAGTTTTCGCACAGGAGATTATTACCTCAAGAAATGATAAGGCTTTGTTTGATCAAACAAAGATTAACTCGTTTACAGGGATGGTGTCACAATTTTTTTTATAATACGTAGGTATATTATGAAGTAAGTTCATCATCATTATGAGATGGAATAAATCTCCAGCAGAAGAGGTGTGCTAGCCACGAATGACATGCGACTGTGAATCGCTTCTGGTTCTTCAAAATCTTAGAGGATGCTGCATTTCATCCTTTGGAGACTAATCTTATTTAAATATGTAATTAAAGAATTGTATTGTGTTGTGAACCTGATTGAAAAAAAGCATGGAGTTTCTTGCTCGTTCTTCTTAATAGGAAATGTACAACTAGGAATGAGTAAATAGTTTCAGTTTTAATTTTTTTTTTGACGTTTTAAAGTCCCCTCTTGTTCTTATTGGATTTATTTTGCTTGTTCACCGATTACTCCGCCATTTGTGAATCGATTTCCAAAATTCTTGTTTTGTTTTAAAGGGTATACTCCCGAGATGGTCCCATTTCCATGAAGTCCGGATCTGATGATGGAATCTTTGGGAATCCGAGAGCTTGTTATTAGTTTTTTGAAGTCGGTTTTTTAAACACAGTTTTTATAATTAATGTGGAAGTATGATAACCTCTCTATGTGAAGAAGTAACGGTGTGTGTGACACTTACAGTCCATCAGATAAATGGTTGATGCTATTGTTGTTTGTTAGCACATAGCAAATGCTAATTTCATATTCATTTATATCAAGACGTCTTAGAGATGTCGGCTCGACGAATCGATTCGATTTTTGAAATCGATTTTTGCTATCCCAAGTTCCATAGTACTCTGTGTTCCAAGTATTGTTTGGGCTTATTCTGTAAACTGGAATAAGATTGATATATAAGTTCATCTTGTCAGGAAAATATTATTGAGAGTTCGTTTGATGGTGAAGATTGTGCTCGGTGTATCGGTAGGTTTATCTTCTGTAACATTAAACTTTACATAGCCAAGGAAAATATATTCTACATTTTTGGCTTAAATCACTTGAGCTATATACCCAAACTTTGTTCATACAAAAGTAGTCTCTAAACATCGAAAATAGGGTCTATAATGGTGTAAGTGGAGAGCGGTCACCAGTGACCAGTGATTGCTTGGATCTTGACCAGTTTAGCTTATACTTACTAAAGTGCATTTCATATGCATCGTCAATGCTTCTTACTACCAAAACTTCGGAGTCAATCAGCACATCTACATTAGCTATGGCCTCTGGCACTATATTATCCTCGTTGACAGATCCAGAGTCTCCAAATAGAATCCAGCGGAATGGTGCACGGAAAAAAGTTCTCGTACTATTCTGTTTTCATAAAAAAGAAACAAAAATAAACGTACAACAAAATGTAGGCAGTCAACTATTTCCATTCAATTTGGACGCCTTTTTAATTTTCTTTTGTACTACAATTCTACATAAATATTAATTAATTGGTAGATACGTGACGCACGCATTGAATAAATGTTATTCATGTAGTTTTGAGTATTTTAAAACCTAATACAGGTCTTACTGAATGAAACAGTGAAACACAGCACAACACACAACAACAGTGTTGATTATACTAAAATCGAATGAAGACATCGGATGCTTCGCCGTTTAACTTAACTTTAATGAATCTCCAAAAATAAATAACAAACCATTTGAAAATAATCTTCAATATCGGGACAATCGAGATCAGCCAGAAATACGATTTGCTGTTCCTCATCGTAAAATTGCATGTAATCATTTGTCAAACCGGCATTAGCACTGAATTGAATATTTTCTTTCACGAGTGCCGAGGACAAATGAATTATTTTGGCTGAAACATAAAAATATCAAAAATTTCACACAAAAGAAAATTAATAGTATGTAATGTACTACTCTTGTTGGTGCTAGGTAAGAAGGATCTAATCCTAGTTCAGACAAAAGTACTGGTATTGACAATAAAGTTTCAAATTTTGAACTCAAGATATGATTTTTTTCTATTACCGTTCATGGACGTTTACTAAGCTTATGGTATCCAACTTAACTCGTCGAGTACCTACCGGTTTTGTAGACACAATTATAGAACAATAGGTTGCGGTCACCAGTGACCGCTTGGTGTTTGACAGTTTAATGTCATGTGAATTACTGTTATACAGTACTATTGTTTACAAGGAGTTTAGTTTTATTATCTACTATCGAAATGTCACTGTTTATGTTAACTTAGAAATTGCAATTATAAACTATGTATTTTTTGGTCTGGGTAGACCAAAAAATACATAGTTTTTGGTATTTGCAGGGTTGCAAATGTGACTAAGATTTCTGTATATTAAATAGTTTACCACATTTTGTTAAATAATAGGTAAACTTCTCCTTTGTTTTTGAGAAATAAAAAAAATATAATTTCATTGTTATGGTATAAGCCGTAAACGACCAGACGGATCATTTGGTTGTAAGCAATGGCGCCGTCTATGGATACCAAAAGTATACAAGTGCATTACCGGCCTTTTGAGGATTAGGAACTTGAGGACGGTTGGGGTTCTGGGATTGGGGCGAGCGGGGAGAGGCGTAAAAAGGCTCAAACGACAAAACACAACACATAGTAACAAAATAGTAACTAGGTGCTTTACTAGGCTAACAACAGTGAATTTTTACAGTAATCACGACTTCTTATTTGCGGTTCGAAACAAAATATTTACATAGTGATTACTAGTTATCAAAACTGTTTTACTAGACTACTGGCACAATGAGTTGTGTGTGTGAGAGCACATTTGTGATTTTCTTAGACCTGTACAACTGGATTCTGCATGGTGCTAATCTATTAGACGTCAGAGTGCCATTTAGGAGTGTTCATGGTGCCAACCGGACTGGTTTTAAACGAGGTAAGGATCCCTGCTTCCCTAGTAATTTTTTACAAAAAATATAAGGACGTGAGTAGATAGACGTCTCGTCAAGCTATAAAACTGGAGAAACACTTGGTTAGAGTGTAGCCTTAGGGGCGCTATGGCGCGAGGACCTAAAAATGTTTCATCAAAAATGAGAATTCTTCTTATAAGTGGCTGGTTTTTCGTGTCTATCGTTTAGTATTAGGCGAATGCCTAGAAATAAGGTGAATATTATCTAGGCACTTTTTCTCTAGGGCTTCAGATTCGCCTGAAAATGAGCCCTAAAGGTCAGTTGGGGGAGTATGTAAGTCCTAAACTCCTTGCCCCTTAGACGACCCACTGACCAAACACTTAGCTTACTAAGGTAAGACTGAAATACAGAAGACCAAAAAACTTTTAAAAAATGTTTGACTTACTAGGTGTCCAACAAAGTTTACCAATCACAGAAGATGGTCTATTAGCAGCTTGGATGACGTCAACAATCATATTGACTTGTTCTGTCTTTCCATTCGTTGATGAAAAGAAGAATGCAATAATAATAAATATTATCTTCCGCATAGCTGCTATGAAATGGTGGCGCAACTGAAGTAATACTATATATTATACTAAGTCATTTATGGTTTAGTAGAGTAGAGTATTAGGTAAGGTAGCCTATAACCAGTATTTGTTATTCAAATTGACCTTTATTGTATTTGCAATGTGATTTTCTGTAAAATCGTTCTTCGGTTCGCAATAAGGGTAATTTTTGCAAAGTATGTTTGCGAATCCATTTCACGTTAAGTACCTACTTATACTAGTTATACTTAAATGAAAAAATTTGTAAGGATGTATGTATATAATTATATTTGTTAGATACTCTTTTAATTTCACGTCCAGGTCCATTCTAGATTTAATAGACTTTAGTACCTACGGTAGCGTTTTTATCTGAGTCCATAATAGGGTAGTTTCCTAAATTTTATTTTAATGTCCGTCTGGTAGATTATTTTAACATTAGACACGTATTTTTTCTTTTCATACAAAATAAAATGCTCTCGACGATATATTAATTTGAAATGTCGTGTGACGTCACAGTGTGCTACAAAATGTAGTACGTTATGACGTAACTACCTCCCACTCAATTAACTAAATTTCATTTTATTTAAGTATTGTAACTACATACGAGGAAATAAAAAAATACGTGTCTAATAATTTTTATTATCTAACTGACGGATTAATTAGATTTTTAATTTTCTTACCATGGAAACTACCCTATTCTAAGCATCTAGAAAGTTTTGTAAAAAATCTAGTACTTACTAAGTTAATTATTTGATATTTTTCCTTTTTTAAAGAAATCAGTTATGTAATAACCGATAGGTCGAGTGATCGAATAGGTTTTGGGTGCGATTCCGACTGTAGACAAAGACCGTTTTTCGAGATAATTTTCAGAAGTAATATCCTTGCATTTACAGAATCTTTTGATACTTCATACATTCATCTTGGTTCCAGCTCGAGCCAGTATGGCACGCGCAGTTATTTACCACAGATAAGGCTAATCACACATATCTAATTATTATCTGTGTCAAGTTTATCCGTATTGTTTGTTTACAAGTGATAGCGAATAGTATTTTTCCGTTACTACAATAGTAAACATCAGGATTTATAGGATGAAGAGTTATTCTCAACATTTTTCTAAAAGTGTGGTCGGTTTAACACGGTCCGGGTGGGGCCCGGAGGTTAAAGACTTCGCATGCATGACACAATATTAAATACAATAAGATTATAAAACAGAAGTTATTACGTTTGTTTTTGTAATAGCGAATAGAACCTTTGAATCTACATAACTCATGAAGTCATGATCGTGGTTAAAATTCAGCACCTATCTAAAATTACAAGCAGACCGTGGCATACATAGATACTGTCCTAGTTTAATAGTTACAGTATTTATTTATTTATATTCAAAGACAAACTAGAGTAATGAGATAGAAAAGGTAATTTAAATAGGTACTTCTATTTAATTATTTTTTAACACAAAGAAAAAAAATATTTCTTCGAAGGATATCATATCATATCATATTCGCATTTCGATGAATTAATGAAACTGTGATTTGATTTTCGAATGGTTTGCTTTACTGAGAAGCCAAAACGATTTATTCTTCGCTAAGGAAAGTACCCAATTGATAAGTTTTATATGTAAACAGTAAATGAACATTGATGGAAGGTATTTTCCAATAGAATTCCTGATATTTCTAGTAATGAATGGCCCATATCAACAGTTGAGTAGACACTTCATTGTTATCAGTACATATTAATATTAATTTATTAATTGCATAATATCCAACCGACCAGTACTCAGTGGGACACCGTCAAGTGCGTACATTTATAATGTGACTTTTCTTGTTTATTTCGGGAATAAATTATAGTGCGTTTGTGTGGTCATTCAAATAATTATAAGGACGATTAATATACTAAATTCTATGTCTAAGCGTAATAAACAGTTCTTTGAAAACCACATCAAAATCGAATCAGCATATCGTGAGATAATCGCAAGCAAATATACCTACAGGTCTACCTGACAGACTCCTTCTTTATTGAAGTCGGTTAAAAAGAAACATGTTGAATACACAGTTGTTTTCTAAAGTGTTTCTTACGAGAAGTTCATTAGATTCAGTTTCGTTAAGTAAGGAGGGCGAATCTACATCAGAATGGACACCATTGTTGAAGAAATCTACCAATGTCCCGCTTTCTACGAGAGGTTCGTACTTGCTTTTGTTTTATTTATTTTGGATATCTCTTACCATTATGTGTGACCATTCGTAACTCGGGTTTCTCCGTCAAAATTGGATCATGAAGCCAGAAGTTATATGGCTAATGGGATTGTACGCAATCAACCACAATTTAATGTACCTACACCGAAATGTATAGATTATGCAATGTTCTGATGTCTAATCTCCATTAGCTAGTGTGCATTTATATGTGCAATACTATTTTTTAATATTTTATACGTAGATTTATGTATTATTGTAGCTGTAGATACAGCTAAACTTACATCTGATTGAATTACAAGAGGTGATCCTATTTTATCCTGTTTATATCTGTATTGAATCTTATCAAAGTTAGTTCATTCTGTTAGGTGTTTAGGCGTAATAAACCATTAATAACATAACATAACATTACGCCTTTTATCCACAAAGGGGTGAGGTGCAAATTACGGCACTTAGTGCTACTGTACAATGTAATCCCACTTTTCACTATTTATGATATGAGTCCCATGTAATAGGGGGTGAGCCTATCGCCATATTATAGGCAGAATTCCAGGCTCCGTGCTACCACTGAGTTTTTTTTTAAAAGACCTAGTTGACCTAGACCTAGTAGCAGACGTAGACCTTTTGCCGGTCGCGGAGAACCTAACGGGTAACCGGGGCTTCGGCTCGAAGTGCAGGAGAAGGAACGGGGTGGTTTTTAGTCAGTAAGAGTCTGACACTCCTGATGATTTTCCCCCCTTAAAAAAAAGACCTTTTGCCGACCCGGGAATAGAATCCGAGACCCTTTGCCCGGCAGTCGCACTTGCGACCACTTGGCCAACGAGGCTGTCATGAACAGTCGAGCCTATTCCTATCCTGTTTATTTCTGTATAAAATCTTATCAAAGTTAGTTCATTCGGTTACGTGTATAAGCATAATAAACCATAATTGAGTTTGTAAGATGTAGTAGGTAAGTACTTATTTATTTAAAATTATACGTATATATGGACATTCTTAATTACGTCGTTTTTATTAAAGTTACTTTATCCCAGTCCAATCATAAAAGTATTCATGATTTTGAAGTATTAACAAGATAAGTAAGAAGCAAGATGAACAGTTAAATAACAATGTAACCGCTTTTTAACTACGTGGTTTTTCAGAGCCTCCGACATTCAGTCACGAACTCACGATTTTAAGGCAAGCAAGCTAAATTTTTATGGAAAATATTTTTCTGGGCAAAAATGGTGCTAATGAAGTAACTATGTAGATGGTAACTATTTTGTGTGATTTTCTATAATTAACAAGTAACGGGAAGTTTTACTAGTTAGGTAGGTACCACTTTACTATCTGTGATAAAAACTAGCATTTGTCGAAACCGAGATAAAGACGATATTTGCTTGCCTTTGCTTTGGTTCGATTTCATAAAAGATAGTGTTATGTTATGAACAGTTAAAAAATTAACATAGGCCCGAATACTGCAAGGCTACTAATTTTTAAGTCGTGCTTAAGTATAGTTCTGTCACTACAAATTCTTTATAAAATGACAGAGATAGCACGATATTTAAGTATAATTTGAATTGAGTTGCTTTTTCAGTATCCAGGCAATAGATATGTACATTCTTAAAGAAAAAAAAAACTAGCAACCAGAAATTGTTTGATAGGTTCTCGTGCCTTTGCATTCATAACAGTTGCTTTCTATTTTTTTTAATCAAATCAGTATGTATTGTAACTTTCGTGAGACATACTAAATAAATTATTATGTTTTCGGCTTGCTCACGTAATAATTTAACGAGGAACTCGACTAGTTTCAAGCCATGCTAGAGCTCATATTCATGAACAGCATTTCGCGACCTGCGACGTGGCGGCTGTCGCGCTACTACCAGTAGCAGCAGTACGTGAGTAAGCCGAAAACATAATAATTTATTCAAATCAATATATTACAACTGAATATTAATTTTTCCATTTATTAAGTGAATGTTAAAACGGATTTGTATTGTGAATTAAAATATTTACCTATTTTTTTTTTAATTTAAACGCTTTATGCACAGTCGTATGTATAATGGTGGACTTAATGCCGTGGGCATTATCTTCCAGTCTGACCTTTTTTTTTTTTTTAAGGGGGGAAAATCATCGAATGACTGCTCCCGCCTGGGTGAGGCGGGAGGGAGTGTCAGACTCTTACTGACTAAAAACCACCCCGTTCCTTCTCCTGCACGTCGAGCCGGAGCCCCGGTTACCCGTTAGGTTCTCCGCGACTCCGAATCGGCATCGGCCCTATTGGGCCCCGTCTGTGGTGGTCTGATGGCTCTTTGAGGCGCGCGCAGAACGCGACGCGCCGTACGCTCGGGTCTGTTTCTGGTCGGACGGGGAGCCACCCATGCTCGCCATCCGCAGGCCCGCGCTTACGGTGGCCGGAGATCGTCCCGCGATCCCCGACGCCCGGTGTGTCCTTCGCGATGGCTGGGTTGCGAGGAGGCAGCGCTTCGCTGCCTCACGCGTCCCGCCTCCTCCTTAGCTAGCATGACTGCTTCGCAAAAGGAGGAGACGGCATCCCAGTCCCCCTCGCTCCGCATCATGGCCTGCACTAGGCCCGGACGCGAGAGGTCGCCATCGTAGGGTGACACAGAAAAGAGTAGGTATACGGTGGGTGTAAGGAGCAACAATGAATTTGAGTGTGTAACATGAAATACTTGTTACTTTCATAATCACTTAATACTATGTATACTATGTATATAATAATACTATGTATATAATAGAAGCTGTTGGTATACCTATTTAAATAAATAAATAAAAAAATAAATGAAATATTGCAGTGGTAAGTATATATCTAACGTATCACTTATAAGTCACTTATAGGTAGATGTAGATGGAAATAAATATGTCCGCCTATGTACAAAACTGGGTCGGTACAAAAAGTTCCACTCTTAAGGTATAGATAGTCGGTGTGGTATCTGCAGTACTTCAAATGTAGGTACTATGTACATACATACTTCTGTAGGAGAAATAGGTCACCTCTGTTTATTACTACCGGTTGCTTGAATATAATATAAAGGTAGGTATATAATAGAATACATGACGTTAAATTATAAGATTTTATTGGAATAAGCCGATAAACGTGTAGACGCATCACCTGATGGAAAGCAATCGGCGCCGTCCATGGACACCCGAAATACCAGAGGCGTTACAAGTGCGTTACCAGCCGTTCCAGCAATTTCGGAATTATTTATGTTGAGCATTACCTAAGGAAATACAACAGTGAAAAAAAAAAACAAACAAATAATTCAATAATTCCCCACACAATAATAATAATTCTGGTTGACACATTTCGTGACCAGAGGGCTGGTCTTTTTCTCGGTCAGAGGTTAAGCATTGCCATACAACGTGGCAATGCTGCCAGTCTTCTGGGTACTTTCCCCACTGACGTCGATGCGGACGAGTATTTCGATGCTTTATAAATACTTAGTTTGTTTTTCCTACAATTAATTTTAATCTTAAGTTGTATATATTTAATTCAGTAATATTTAGTTTTAATTTTATTTAAGTAATAGTTGTAATTTAAGTTTTTTATTGAAATAAACGGTTTATCAATCATAATTCCCCTCTTTATATTATTAGTTTTAGTATACATAGATGCACGAATGCACGTGTTATGCACTTATCTCTATGAGTGCTTATAAAATGATACTTAGTTGCAATTCTATGTTTACTGTTTACATATTGTAAATATAGTCTGCATCGAATGATTTCTTGTCAATACGATTAACAATGTTATTATTTTATTAATATTATTTATGTAAACATTAGATATTCCTACGTATTATATTATTATTGATAGGTATTTATTTGCACTTGTATTTATTTCTTGAATTCTTTCTTAACATTGTGATAAATAAACATATGATAACAGTTCGTTACCTTCTTTAGGGACAATTTTTCAATTCTCAAATAAATTTTAACCAAGGAATAACTTTGAATATAGACAATTCTTCCATACTAAAAACTGTCAATTGTCAATTTTATTCTACATTTAAGAATTAAGTGATGATTGAAAAATCGGCCCTTATGTATCTTGTATTTATGTGTGGTTTTGACATAAAGGAGGATAAAACTAACCTATACCACTATACAGCCTCTTATCTCAGCTAGGGTATTCTGTAAAGGTGATATCAGACTTCATTTTTGTCTTTCATTCGACATCTTTCACTTAAAATGGTACGTGTAAGTACTTACATGAGAATGATACAAGAGTGCAGAATGAATTTATTAGGGAACCGATCCAACGATGTTGGATTTTGGCAACCTGCGTCATTCACTCCCACTCCGAATGAACAAAAAATAAGCTGTCTGCACACACAGTGAACATTCACTCGCATTTGATTTGATGACCACAAATTAAAATGATTCCGAGACGCACAACAGCAGTCGATGACATATTTTAAAAAACGAACGAATTCAAAAATGGAAGTTCATTTCTTTGTCATTCCACTGATTGTCTGAACACGGAATGACAGATAAATATCTAATAATAATTCAAAAAAACAAAATTGTTAATTTATTATTAATTTGTAATTTTTTTGTTGAAATAAATTTTCTTTATACAAACCTGAAAAAAATATATAAAGGCAAGCTAAGTTTTTAGAAAAATATATAGGCATACAAAATATTTCCTGTATCAGTGATATAAATGAAACATTCAATAACTATTCATTCAAGTGAACTGTCTGATATAAAGTTTAGTTTCAATTTGAATCAAAATATAAAAATAATCTGGACCAATGACGGGCGAGTATACGATCGAGCTCACTTTGAAAGTTCGAATTGACACTTATCAAATAGCATAACTGGTCATACTCTATCGTCAGAATGAATTTGTCTGATTTGAAATAAATTTATTATGTAGTAACAGTAAGTAACACTTTCAAATCACGCAAGTTTTTACTACATACGTACATACATACATAATATAGATATGAGATTCAGACAGGAATAAGGCAATCAAAATATTCCTATA